CACTCCTGCATTGTCTTGGCTGTGTGCTTAGGGTCGTTGTCCTGTTGGAAGGTGAACCTTCGCCCCAGTCTGAAGTCCTGAGCGCTCTGGAGCAGGTTTTCATCAAGGATCTCTCCCCATTCATCTTTCCCTTGATCCTGACTAGTCTCCCAGTCCCTGCCGCTGAAAAACATCCCCACAGCATGATGCTGCCACCACCATGCTTCACCGTAGGGATGGTGCCAGGTTTCCTCCAGAGCGTCACGCTTGGCATTCTGGCCAAAGAGGTCAATCTTAGTTTCACCAGACCAGAGAGTCTTTAGGTGCCTTTTGGCAAACTCCAAGCGGGCTGTCATGTGCCTTTTACTGAGGAGTGGCTTCCGTCTGGCCACTCTACCATAAAGGCCTGATTGGTGGAGTGCTGCAGAGATGGTTGTCCTTCTGGAAGGTTCTCCCATCTCAACAGAGGAACTCTAGAGCTCTTTCAGAGTGACCATTGGGTTTTTGGTCACCTCCCTGACCAAGGCCCTTCTCCACCGATTGCTCAGTTTGTCTGGGTGGCCAGCTTTAGGAAGAGTCTTGGTGGTTCCAAACTTCTTCCATTTAAGAATGATGGAAGCCACTGTGTTCTTGGGGTCCTTCAATGCTGCAGAAATGTTTTAGTACCCTTCCCAAGATCCGTGTCGCGACACAATCCTGTCTCGGAGCTCTACGGACAATTCCTTCGACCTCATGGCTAGGTTTTTGCTCTGACATGCACTGTCAACTGTGGGACCTTATATAGACAGGTGTGTGCCTTTCGAAATCATGTCCAATCAATTGAATTCACCACAGGTGGACTCCAATCAAGTTGTAAAAACATCTCAAGGATGATCAATGGAAACAGGATGCACCTGAGCTCAATTTCGAGTCTCATAGCAAAGGGCTGAATTATTATTTAAATAAGGTATTTCTGTTTTTATTTTCTAATAGATTAGCAAAAATATATAAAAAACTGTTTTAGCTTTGTCATTATGGGGTATTGTGTGTAGATTTATGAGAAATACAATAATTTTATAAATTTTAGAATAAGGCTGTAACGTAACAAAATGTGGAAAAAGCCAAGGGGTCTGAATACTTTCCGAATACACTGTATCAGTTATCCTGTTCGAGCTTTTGTGCCGAATCCACTGTGTTGTTTCAGGTGCAATGTTTATGGTCATGTCGCAGCAGTGTGTAGGACGGAGATTCCAAGATGTGGGATGTGTGCAGGAGGGCATTGGATAGAGGATTGTGTAGTTTTGGTGGATAAAGTTGTGTGTGTCGACTGTAGGGATGCACATGTTGCTGGGGATCTGAAGTGTCCGGTAGGAGAGAGGCAGGTTGAGGTGGCTAGAGTCAGAGTAGTGCAGAAGGTGTCGTATGTTGAGACAGTGAAGAAAGTAGAGGAGGATGGATCTCTGTGAATAGTAGATCTGTGCCAGCATAGAGGGATAGGCCAACGAGTGATACACTATATATACAAAGGTATGTGGACACCCCTTCAAATTAGGGGATTCAGCTATTTCAGCCACACCCGTTGCTGACAGGTGTATAAAATCGAGCACACAGCCATGCAATCTCCATTGGCAGTAGAATGGCCTTACTGAAGAGCTCAGTGACTTTCAACATGGCACAGTCATAGGATGCCACCTTTCCAACAAGTCAGTTCGTAAAATGTCTGCCCTGCTAGAGCTGCCCCGGTCAACTTTAAGTGCTGTTATTGTGAAGTGGAAACATCTAGGAACAACAACGGCTCAGCCGCAAAGTGGTAGGCCACACAAGCTCACAGAACGGGATCACCGAGTGCTGAAGCGCGTCCCGCGTAAAAATCGTCTGTCCTCGGTTGCAACACTCACTACTGAGTTCCAAACTGCCTCTGGAAGCAACTTCAGCACAAGAACTGTTCGTCGGGAGCTTCATGGAATGAGTTTCCATGGCCGAGCAGCCGCACACAAGCCTAAGATCACCACGCGCAATGCAGAGCGTCGGCTGGAGTGGTGTAAAGCTCGCCACCATTGGACTCTGGAGCAGTGGAAAACACATTCTCTGGAGTGATGAATCACGCTTCACCATCTGGCAGCCCGATGGATGAATCTGGGTTTGGCTTATGCCAGGAGAACTCTACCTGCCTGAATGCATAGTGCCAACTCTAAAGTTTAGTGGAGGAGGAATAATGGTCTGGGGCTGTTTTTCATGGTTCAGGCTCCTTAGTTCCAGTGAAGGGAAATATTAACGCTACAGCATACGATGACATTCTAGATGATTCTGTGCTTCCAACTTTGTGGGGGGAAGGCCCTTTCCTGTTTCAGCATGACAATGCCTCCATGCACAAAGCGAGGTCCATACAGAAATGGTTTGTTGAGATCGGTGTGGAAGAACTTGACTGGCCTTCACAGTGTCCTGACCTCAACCTCATCAAACAGCCTTTGGGATGAATTGGAACGCCGACTGTAAACCAGGCCTAAACGCCCAAAATCAGTGCCCGACCTCACTAATGCTTGTGGCTGAATGGAAGCAAGTCCCCCTCTGCAATGTTCCAACATCTAGTAGAAAGCCTTCCCAGAAGAGTGGAGGCTGTTATAGCAGCAAAGGGGGGACCAACTCCATATTAATGCCCATGATTTTGGAATGAGATGTTTGACGAGCTGTTGGTCATGTCGTGGATATGCTTCAGTAAGGTTGCCTTCTTAGCGTTCATAGCGACGGTTGTTAACTGTGCCGCAGAAATGGAACGTAAATCACAGAAAATAGATGTTGTGGTGGCAGCTGCAGAGAAGTATTTGGGTATATGAGATTTGACTTTAGAAAAGTTACAGGGTGTCCTCCCAGGCTGCTGGCATGGTGAAGGAGCAAATTGGGTCAAAGCAGTGGATTTTTAATTAGTGAAGGGTTAGTTGGTGTTCTATTTATTATTATTAAATTTGTTTGTATTACATTAACATTTTTTATTTATTTAATTTTTTTGTCATTTAGCAGATGCTCTTATCTAGAGCGACTTACAGTTAGTGCATACATATTTTTTTTCTTCTCATACTGGCCCCCCGTGGGAATCGAACCCACAACCCTGGCGTTGCAAACGCCATGCTCTACCAACTGAGCTACATCCCTGCCGGCCATTCCCTCCCCTACCCTTGGACCAATTGTGCGCCACCCCATAGGTCTCCCGGTCGCGGCCGCCTACGACAGAGCCTGGATTCGAAACCAGTGGCACAGCTAGCACTGCGATGCAGTGCCTTAGACCACTGCGCCACTCGGGAGATTAATGGATTTATAATATAACCCTGTTATTGAGTGTGATAAATAACCTGAATAGGTTGTCTGTCTTCTCCGACTGTATCAGTTCTAATGTTACCTGTTTATAAAAGCAGCTCCACTGACCGCAGCTGATCACCACTCGGTCTTTGGAACATCGTTTCTGTGAACTGGAGAAGTCATCGGTTTCTCTAGTCCGTCAAATTTCTGGTTTTCAAGCCAGTTATTGATTTACTCGCAGCAGGTACACACAGGGGATTCAGGTAACACTAGACAATATTGGACATTTCATTGTTTTATGTATTTATCATTGAGGGAGCAACAGACACAGCTACCTATAACCCAAACTAAGGTGTCTTTTCATACCTTCGAGTTGTATTTACAGTATAACATATCCACCTGGATGACACAATGAACAGATGGATGAGTAAAATAAAAAAAGGTTTAAAACAAAAATCATGTCATACGATCTTCTTCTTCCCCTTATACAAATAAAACATCCTGACATAAACATACAAGTCTAAACACAAGAAGAAAACACTCCCCAAAAGCACAGAGGATCAGTAAGGTGAGTCATATCTATTGGGAAAAGGACTTACAGCACACTATGTGGTGTCTAAATGAGAGCTCTTCATAGCCAAGGCATTCACCCATAGATAGATACTACATTTACTAACTAGTGGGGGGGGGACCTTGGTTGCAAGCGATCAAGTGAATACTAATCCAGTGAATGTTTTAGTTTTTATTAGCATCAGGATCTGTGCAGTCTGTCGCTGAGGAGTACACAGGTGAGTGACCATCAACCCGAATTACATCCACATTTCCCGCTGAAACTAATCATAGCCAAATTCTTCACTTCCATCTTGTTCAAAGTTGTCAAATTCAAAATATCAACTGATTATCATTGTCAGACAAATCTCTCATCTCCCTAATGCTCCTAATGTGAGCCTGTATTCAGTAGTCAGTGCTCATCCCCATTGGTCCTGGTTGGGTAATGAGAATGCATCAGTGTCCTCCTGCAGCAGACTAGGTGACTAGTGTCTGAAATGGCCCCCTATTCCCCATTTAGTGCACTACTTTTGATCAAAGCCATGTGGGCTCACACTGAGTGTACAAACCATTAGGAACACCTGCTCTTTCCATGACATAGACTGACCAGGTGAAAGCTATGATCCCTTATTGATGTCACCAGTTAAATCCACTTCAAATCAGAGTAGATGAAGGGGAGGAGACAGGTTAAAGAATGATTTTTAAGCCTTGAGACATGGATTGTGTGTGTGCCATAAAAATGTTTAATACATACATTTTCTATATTTTTTTTTACAATAACAACCATACTTTAACAAAAGACAGTAAACAGGCGCACACACACATTTCAACAAACATCAATGATATCACACCTGCTCAGACCCACGTTTCCACCGCAACCATACACATCACAACCACACCCCCTAAGTGTGCCATTCAGAGAGTGAATGGACAAGACAAAATATTTAAGTGGCTTTGAACAGGGTATGGTAGTAGGTGCCAGGCGTACCGGTTTGAGTGTGTCAAGAACTGCAACGCTGCTGGGTTTTTCATGCTCAACAGTTTCCTGTGTGTATCAAGAATGGTCCACCACCCAAAGGGCATCCAGCCAACTAAACACAACTGTGGGAAGCATTGGAGTCAACATGGGCCAGCATCCCTGTGGAACGCTTTCGACACCTTGTAGAGTCCATGCCCCAACGAATTGAGGCTGTTCTGAGGGAAAACTCAATATTAGGAAGGTATTCTTAATGTTTGGTACACTCAGTGTATATTATGGAATAGGGAATAGGGTTAGTTTCAGATGTATCCTCGCTGTGCATTATGTGATGTCTGATGACATCATCAGAGCTCGTCGTGGTGCAGTGTTGTTGATGTCATCAGAACTCTTCATGATTGTGTCTCAGTGGCTCCTGGCTGGGCTGAATGAAGACGCCCTCCATAGCCTTCCAGTAGTTGTTGTGGTTGGCAGTGCCCATGCCGTGCACCTCCCTCTGCCCGCGGATGGGGTGGCCGTACTGCTCGCCCGTCACGGTCAGGAAGGCGTCTGTGCCAACGTGTTTGAAGCGCACCGCCTCGTCCCGCTCCCAGATGGAGCCGTCACACTGCACCTTCCACACGTCCAGGTCATCCCCCTCGCCATTCTCACCGAACGCACTCACCTCCTAAAGGTTGATGGACAGCATTGTGGGTTAGTGGTGTGTGTATTTGTGTTTGTTACCTGGTTGCGGGACAGTGACTAGCTAAAATTGCGTATGTGTGTGTGTGTGTGTTGTATTACCTGAGTATTGACAGCAGCCACCTAGTGGTGTGTGTGTGTGTGTGTGTGTGTGTGCCCACTGCCTCTCTTACCTGGTTGTTGGACAGCGGCGAGCTGAAGTGGTGTGTGTGGAGGTTGCGTCCCGTGGTCATGTGCGTGATGCGGATGGCCTGCCCACACTGGATTGGCACGCCGCGTTGGCAGGTCCCGTTGGGCTTCCCCCGAATCCTCCAGTAACTGTTGGCATCGTCTGCACTCTCAACCCCCGTCACAGACTGCTGCCCACTACCTACAGTTTAAAAGGAGTCAACAGCTTTACCTCAACCCGCCAACAGCTTTACCTCAACCCGCCAACAGCTTTACCTCAACCTGCCAACAGCTTTACCTCAACCCGCCAACAGCTTTACCTCAACCCGCCAACAGCTTTACCTCAACCCACATTTACATTACATTTTAGTCATTTAGCAGACGCTCTTATCCAGAGCGACTTACAGTTAGTGAATACATTTTTTTTTTTTTTATACTGGCCCCCCATGGGAATCGAACCCACAACCCTGGCGTTGCAAACGCCATGCTCTATCAACTGAGCTACATCCCTGCCGGCTATTCCCTCCCCTACCCTGGACGACGCTGGGCCAATTGTGCGCCGCCCATGAGTCTCCCGGTCGCAGCCGGCTGCGACAGAGCCTGGAACCCGCCAACAGCTTTACCTCAACCCGCCAACAGCTTTACCTCAACCTGCCAACAGCTTTACCTCAACCTGCCAACAGCTTTACCTCAACCTGCCAACAGCTTTACCTCATTCTCCTCTTTCTAGCCAGAGTGGTGTCAGTTCAAATAGAAGACTACAGGGTAGTGTTGTGTGCTATACATAGTTTAAACCTTCCATATAGCCTACCAGTTTAGGGAACAGTCAAGTAGAGCACTAAGCCCATAGGTTTAGCCTCAAGAACACCAAAAGTAAAGCTTGGTTTGAATAATTGAGGTCAGTTTTTAATTCCACCCGTGACAAGGAATGACTGGCTACACCTGTGGTATGTGTTACAGTTAAATCCTTCCCCCTGTGGGTTCTGTTGTGTATTAGACTACAGTACACCTGCGTCCGGTGCAACTGACACCTCTCTGGGGATGGCAATGGCAAGATTTGCATGAACGGCTAAGCTTCCATTTTACTGTAAGCTATACTAGACTAGACCTACTACCTCCTATGTCTCGGTCAGTGGTTAAAAAGATAAGAAATGTATCCAATAGCCACACTTTAATGTAACCACCTGCTTATTTTGTTGCTATAAAATGTTTGACTATGGATTGATGGGATACATCGTTACAACACCTGTTCCACTCATCGATTGATACATTGTTGCGAGCTCGATTCTCGACTAGAGTGCACATAAATAACAGCCATATAAACTAAACAGAGAGTTTATGGTTGTTATATACTCATTTAAACGCGTTATACATTTAGCTTAAATCTCTCCTTCCGACTTGTAGCTATGATATGAGGACCAACCGGTTTATTGCTTGTTATAGGTTAGGCTTGCTGTATTTGTTCATTGATTGAAACACACCAATGTTCTGATTGAACGACATTGATTATTGGTCAATAGCCTAACTTAACTTTTTGAGGAAGGTTGATGATGAAGTTCTCTAGTGATGAAGGTTGATGATGATGGCTTACCTGAACCGTATTTGACATCATGGGAGTGCAGCCGAACGTTGTGTCTCGTGTTCAGCAATTTCACAAGCGAACCGCAGGTGACATAGTTGAACTCGGACTCCCGACCCTCGCATTTGGACCACAAAAGAACGACCAAAAATGATTTGATGAAGCCGCGGAGAGCGTGAATTAATCCCATTGTTGTGTCTATATGGACATAATCGAGAACGAGAGGATATAAAGCTCGAGGACAGGCACTTTCAAACCTTAATGCTAATGTAAACCAATCAGAGCTTGACAAGTCCCTGAACACGGAAGTAAAGGATAACACATGCTGTTCTGTGATTGGTTGAAGCACTTGTGACGTCATGCATATTGATAAATTCATTCGGAAGGCGGAAATGAAAAGATTGCCGGCCCCCGCAAGTGACCGTAGGGCTGGAGACGGAAAAAGATGGCGGAAGCGGATGATGAAGTGAATTCTGAATCTAATGGCGGTAGAATTAAGGAGATTTGGAATATTGTCCAAAAGAATGGAAAACGGAGCCAAGTAGTGTACAGTGAGGAGAATGTAACTTCGTATCTAGTAGGAGTACAGTTTGTTAATGAGGAGCAACTGATCGAATTACCAATCTGGAGGAATCCATTTGAGATATCCAAACTGGTGGAGAGAGTGCTGGGTAAAGTGAAGGCTGTGAGGATCACGAGCGGGTTTGTTTGGATTTTTTGTGCTTCTGCGGACCAGAAGAAACGTGTGTTGCGTCTCACCCGATTTGATCAGTTTGAAGTGTCGTGTGTGTCTCTTAGGAACAGGGCACCCCTCAAGGGGGTTATATCTGGCCTCTCGTGGGAAGTCGATGTTGAAGAGATGAAAAATATTCCTGGAGTGATTGATGCAGGTCGAATGAATCGTGTGGTGAATGAAGAAAAAGTGAAGAGTTTTTTGATATGGAGTCTCTCCCTACTCGAGTGCAGTTGGGGTATATTAACTACAGAGTCAGAGCATTTATCCCAAGACCAATGCAGTGTGATCATTGTAAAGCTTTTGGTCATGTTTCAAGGGTTTGCAGAAGGGAGAAGCCGAGATGTCCAAGTTGTGGAAAAGATCACATCATGTGTTATAAAAGTGATGAAAATGTGACATGTTGCCATTGTGGTGGGAACCATGAAGTCACGTCTTTTGAACGCCCCACCAAGGGTGAAAGAGAATGAGGTGGCCAAAGTCAGGGCTGTCCAGAGCATTTCATATGCAGCAGCTGTTAAAAGGGTTGAGGCTTTGAATGGTGCTCCTGAAGAGTCCATGGTGGTGGATAGGCCTTCACTGCAGGCTGCAGCGGTTGCCTTTCACCAGCAGGACCCATGACATTTTAAAGGTGGACTTTGTGGCCTTTACAGCTATGGTGATTAATGGCACTGCCAAGGTGAAGATAAGGTCCAGGAAGATAGATATCATTGTGGATTCAGTGAAGCGGTTCCTGGGGCTGAAAGACTTCTCGGCGAAGGTGTTACATGGAATATTGTCACAAGCCGTACCACCCCCTCAGGCCCTAGAGACTGAGAAGGGAGATTTGAAAGAAGGAAGTGAGAGTTTTGTTTTGTCAATTTACAATTTTTATTTGGGTGGATTAAGTTAGTTTCCCTATTAGGTAAGGATTTTATTTTTACCTTGTTTTGGTTTCAACCCGTTCAGTTGGTGGCAGCAATACACCTTTTTGGGTTGTAGTCCGCCATAAAACCCACAGAAGAAGAAAAGATTGCCAGAAAACTACTGAGGATACGAGATTGACAACAGGTAATATTGTGTTTTAACAACGTATCAGAGGAAAACAACACAGGATTGTCAGAGGAAGGCCCCCCCCCCCCAAAAAAAATTATGTTGTTAAAGACTCTAGCCACACAAGCCATAGATGGTTCTCTCTGCTACCGAACGGCAAGCGGTACCAGTGCATCAAGTCTGGAACCAACAGGACCCTGAACAGCTTCTACCCCAAAGCCATGAGACTGCTAAACAAGGCTGCTTTCACTGACTGTGCACACACACACCGGACTGCTACCTGTATGGACTGTACATAGCCACCTCAATTACCTCGTACCCCTGCACATGGACTCTGTACTGGTACTTCCTGTATGTAGCCATGTTATTGTTATTCAGTGTATTTATTCCTCGTGTCACTATTTCTATATTTGTATCTTTATCTCTGCATTGTCGGAAAATGACCCGTAAGTCAGCATTTAGTCTACACCTCTTCTTTACCAAGCATGTGACAAATCAAATGTATTTTTTTTTAAATAGGCTATCAAAGACCCCTTGATATTGCTTGTGTTTTATATGTTTTTTCAAATTTTAATGTGAGTATTTTTATGTGGCAGTTGTACCCCATTGGCCAACCACCAAATCATTCAATTACTTCTCTTTCCTCCATCTGCACTATATAGAGCTGGACATGTAAAAGCAAATTCCTGGTAGGCATATTCTATTTTCCTTTCACCTGCCCTGTGCTTTCAGGTCAATGATATTAAGGAGAAGAGGAGAGAAACCCACTTCAGACAATTGTGATGCACCCTAGTGATCTCCAATTGATCAACACATGGTCCTTATGCAGTATACAGTGAGGGGGAAAAGTATTTGATCCCCTGCTGATTTTGTACGTTTGCCCACTGACAATGAAATGATCAGTCTATAATTTTAATGGTAGGTTTATTTGAACAGTGAGAGACAGAATAACAACAAAAAAATCCAGAAAAACGCATGTCAAAAATGTTATAAATTGATTTGCATTTTAATGAGGGGAATAAGTATTTGACCCCCTCTCAATCAGAAAGATTTCTGGCTCCCAGGTGTCTTTTTTTAATTTATTTTTTTATTTTATTTTTAGTTTCCCTATTAGGTATACAGGTAACGAGCTGAGATTAGGAGCACACTCTTAAAGGGAGTGCTCCTAATCTCAGTTTGTTACCTGTATAAAAGACACCTGTCCACAGAAGCAATCAATCAATCAGATTCCAAACTCTCCACCATGGCCAAGACCAAAGAGCTCTCCAATGATGTCAGGGACAAGATTATAGACCTACACAAGGCTGGAATGGGCTACAAGACCATCGCCAAGCAGCTTGGTGAGAAGGTGACAACAGTTGGTGCGATTATTCGCAAATGGAAGAAACACAAAATAACTGTCAATCTCCCTCGGCCTGGGGCTCCATGCAAGATCTCACCTCGTGGAGTTGCAATGATCATGAGAACGGTGAGGAATCAGCCCAGAACTACATGGGAGGATCTTGTCAATAATTTCAAGGCAGCTGGGACCATAGTCATGAAGATAATAATTGGTAACACACTACGCCGTGAAGGATTGAAATCCTGCAGCGTCCGCAAGGTCCCCCTGCTCAAGAAAGCACATATACAGGCCCGTCTGAAGTTTGCCAATGAACATCTGAATGATTCAGAGGAGAACTGGGTGAAAGTTTTGTGGTCAGATGAGACCAAAATGGAGCTCTTTGGCATCAACTCAACTCGCCGTGTTTGGAGTAGGAGGAATGCTGCCTATGACCCCAAGAACACCATCCCCACCGTCAAACATGGAGGTGGAAACATACTTTGGGGGTGTTTTTCTGTTAAGGGGACAGGACAACTTCACCGCATCAAAGGGACGATGGACGGGGCCATGTACCGTCAAATCTTGGGTGAGAACCTCCTTCCCTCAGACAGGGCATTGAAAATGGGTCGTGGATGGGTATTCCAGCATGACAATGACCCAAAACACACGGCCAAGGCAACAAAGGAGTGGCTCAAGAAGAAGCACATTAAGGTCCTGGAGTGGCCTAGCCAGTCTCCAGACCTTAATCCCATAGAAAATCTGTGGAGGGAGCTGAAGGTTCGAGTTGCCAAACGTCAGCCTCGAAACCTTAATGACTTAGAGAAGATCTGCAAAGAGGAGTGGGACAAAATCCCTCCTGAGATGTGTGCAAACCTGGTGGCCAACTACAAGAAACGTCTGACCTCTGTGATTGCCAACAAGGGTTTTGTCACCAAGTACTAAGTCATGTTTTGCAGAGGGGTCAAATACTTATTTCCCTCATTAAAATGCAAATCAATTTATAACATTTTTGACATGTGTTTTCTGGATTTTTTTGTTGTTATTCTGTCTCTCACTGTTCAAATAAACCTACCATTAAAATTATAGACTGATCATTTCTTTGTCAGTGGGCAAATGTACAAAATCAGCAGGGGATCAAATACTTTTTTTCCCTCACTGTATATATACACACACACAGTCGTTTCTGCAAACTTAATAAAAATACAAATAAAATATTTGGAGTCAGGTTCTTCAAGATGCTATTTATTTAATGTCCCAGAATCTGTCCATAAGTAGAATATCTTTCATTGGACGTTTCATTCTGGGCCGACCTATCGTGTCCCAGAGAGTGGGATGACGACCATGCCCAGTTTCTGGGAGAGGTATATCTCCCTCCTGATCTGTCTGTTGAGGCTGGACACGGCGGCCTGGAGGATCCCCCTCAGAGACGTAGAGGTAATGTCTGAACCCCGGGAACCGCTGCTCACTGGAGGGAGACGGCCTGTGTACCTGTGATGAGGGCTCTGGCCAAGCTTCTGTGAAAATAAGGAGGAGAAATCCATGATCTATTAGGTAGCCTAACTACACAGACTGGTTTAAATCAGGAGTCACCAACTGTCCTCCTGGAGAGCTAATGGGTGTGCCGGCTTTTGCTCCAGCACTATACAAGCACCCGATTCAGCCAATCACAGTTCTAAGGAGCAGCTGATTAGTTAGAATCAGGTGTGTTAAATTAGGGTCTGGAATACACCGCATGCACACACACACACACACACACACACACACACACACACACACACACACACACACACACACACACACACACACACTTCTAGAATACACTGCACACACACACACACACACACACACACACACACACACACACACTCAAACACACACACACACACACACACACACACACACAACACACACACACACACACACACACACACACACACACCAGGGATTGGCATTAGGTCTGAAAAGCACATGCTTTTTAAAATATATATTTTTAATGATCACTTGCACGAAAAAGTGAATTAGTTATTAACACGCAGAGATGTCACATACAGTATTGCCTGCCTTTCACTTACACACCGGGGAAGAACCAGAAAAATACTGGAATTATTTATATTTTGGTTATCAGTTTCAAAATATCTCAGAGAAAGCTCAACTTTGCCCAACTGCCATAAATGCCATCCATTGTCTGTCTTTCACTTGAACAATGGGGAGGAACCAGAAAGATCAGTTTTAGGGTACTGGAATTCTTTGCGGTTTGGGGCTCTGAGCAGGCTCAACTTGCACTACTGCTCAGTTCACTTGCCCCAGGCATTAGGACAACCCTTCAAGCTAGACACCTTAGTTGCTACATCCATTTCTGGACATTTACATTAATGATGGGTTGTTCAACCCATTAGGTGCCTTTTGAGTAGTGTAACTTGTGAGGAAAACAAAACGTTTATTTAACCTAATTGTCACTTTCTGCAAGCACAGGACATTCAGCACACCTGATTTGACACTATGATCTGACTATTACATGTTCAATGTTTCTTTAGAATAAAACAAAAAGGAATAGTTTCACAATATTAAAATGAGAGTTCAGTTCACGTAACAAGGCTGACCTAAAACAGGTTGTTTTGTACTTAAAATTAAACGCTAATCACATGCAATAAATAATATTTTTCAGAAATGACTTTGTCAAAGCAACATAAAAGCTAGGGCTTTACAACGATAGTGAAAACTTAAATAAATGTTGGGGTTAAGTGGGTTAAAATCTTAAAAGTCACAGAGGATGGATATTTTAAAATGCTGCATTTTGGCTATTTAGCAAGTCTTTATTCATATAAAAAATTGGATTTATTGAATTTTCCATCTGGTCTATATTAAATGGCACTTCATTTAATATAGCAGGCATTTAAAATGCAATATTTCTGCACAATTTGTAATTAAAATATCAAAGGGACGCAAAGGCACTCAATTCCTGGATATGGAATGACCCATATACTCTTGAAGAATATATAACGTATAAATGCCTCATGAGCTGAGTTCAACTGTCCCCATCACAACCCAAAATAGAAGCTTGTTTCACTCCAATGTTTGTAAACAAAATAAATGTAAACAAACACTATATAGCCTCAGAAAATTGAATAATGTTGATATCATGGATGGTCAGTCCTTGCATCCATAGATCTGTCTATGAATTTGAAAGTGGTTACATTTCTCCAGGCCCATCCCTCAGCTGTTTTACCAAAACAGAGGCGGGGGATATTGTTTCAATGTATTATTCTAGTTTGAATGTCAATCCCTACTCACACACACATGCACACATGCACACACTTGCCTTTTTGTTGACAAGCTCAGGGTTAATGTATTCTGCCTTTACACCGGCATGGGTGTTAAAGGCAATCTTATTCAGACACTCCTGTTGCTCCATCCTCAGAATGGATGACGACTGCTCCTCTGGTATCTCTTTCATGTTTCCTGTGCACTGATTGGTCGAGGGGTCCAGGTCAAGTCCGTCGACCAAAGAGATCCCAACATATTTGGGTGTGGGTGATGGAGAGGCGTCAACAGCCGAAGGATCAGCAGCAGTTACATTCAATCGAGATACATTCGTCTCCTTGTCTAACGTTGATGTCTTCCTCTGATCATGGAGGGCAGAGTTATCAGGTTTAGGGCTGATAAACAGTGGGCTCTCGTCTGCTTTTCTGGCCTGGAGAAGTTTCAGCAGGACTTTGGAAACGACCCTCTCTAGCTCCTTGTAGGTCCCTCTTTTCTCAAGGAAAGCTTTGAACTCCTCGTTCAGGTACTGAGCCATGGGGTCGCAGAGACTGACGATGGATGACAGGGCTTGGGAAGAGGAGCCTGAGGTTCTGCTGAGCAGAACCATGTCTTCATCCGACATCCATTCCTGGTCCTGGTCCAACAGTTTTAGATTTCTGAAGAGGTCACATTCCGATTCGGTCAAGTCGGATATGAGAGAATGACCTTGACTGTTGTCAGGGTCTGAGCTTCCTGTCTCATCCATTCTCTTCAGACTGTTATCAGGATCTGAGCTTCCCACCACATCCATCCTCATCAGACTGTTGTCAGGATCTGAGCTTCCCACCACATCCATCCTCATCAGACTGTTGTCAGGATCTGAGCTTCCCACCGGATTCATCCTCATCAGACTGTTGTCAGGATCTGAGCTTCCCACCGCATCCATCCTCATCAGACTGTTGTCAGGATCTGAGCTTCCCACCACATCCATCCTCATCAGACTGTTATCAGGATCTGAGCTTCCCACCACATCCATCCTCATCAGACTGTTGTCAGGATCTGAGCTTCCCACCGCATTCATCCTCATCAGACTGTTGTCAGGATCTGAGCTTCCCACCGCATTCATTCTCTTCAGAATAGATGTGCAGAATCCAGATGTTATAACTGTAAGTTGCTCTGGATAAGCGCGTCTGCTAAATGACTAAAATGTAAATGTTGATGTTATAACTGCCTGTAATAAGCCTATTGTTCTTTAAATGTAGGCTATGTAGGCCTAGTCATTTTTTGCAAATGGAAATGGCTAGGCCTACTATCGCAAATGATGAACTCTGTGTCAAGCACACCAGCCTACTTGTCCAATCACTTGTCTCAGTGATTGCACAAATGCATAATGGAACAATAGAATTAAAGAATTAGAATGTTGGCCAGTTATGCATCATCCATTATGTCATTGAGAATAAAAGAAGTCGTTCACAGAACATAGAAACAAATAAATATTATTAAGATTTCTAAATGTTTTATTTCTGTGATGATCAGGCTTTGTTTTATGAGTAGGCAATTGGTGTAGGCATTGGTATAGGGATGAGCCAACAGCCATGTTGTAGCCCACCGCATTGTAGCCTATGCCTTGAATATAGCATAAATTACACAATTATTTACTCAAATATTTGACCTCTGACCAAAATAAGAAAGAAAATATAAATAAATTCTAAGACACGTCACATAAAAGTACCATTTGGATCCAATAGAGGTCACGTGAATCCATAAAAGTAGGTTACGGATTTCATTGCAGCCTTGAGTCAGTCGGAAGAGCTGGGTACTTAATAAATATAAATGGCCAAATACGTGTCTTAAAATGGGTAAAACTAGTATTTTCACTACTTAGAGTTTAGATGACATAAAGGCTATGGATCAATTCGATTTGATTCCATGATCTATTATTATTGTATATGATTTGTATGCTAGAGAGGCAGATTTTTAAAAAAAACTCATCGCGTTTAAAATACAGGGTGCTCGCGTGCAATAGTCTTTCCCATTCGATGCAATAAGTGTAAATTGTAGGCCTATTTCTTATATGTTCATACATTTGTAGGTATGCTAGGGCCATAGCTAGGGCCATTGCCTCTATAGGATTAGGCTGTGAAAGTGACCATAGTGACTGTTTTCCACTCTGCGCGGAATGAGTTCAGTCGCCTTCCTGTGCGTTAGTTTGACAACTAGCTGTCAACCTGCAGTGTATAGAGGAAATCGGCTATCATCAGGACATCTATAAGAAGATGATCGTTCAATGGGGAAAGCAACATATTTTTTCTAATCCGGGTATGCAAATGTCCTGATTCGCGGACTGATTCGCGGACTCATATAGGTGGAATTTTACAGTTCTATTCGAGATTATAGTTTATTACTTCGAGATTCTATCACCACGAAGTAAGGCTATTGGGGACAACAAGAACAAGTAGATTGTGTTCTCGTGAGTGTTGTAAATTAGTAATTGTCTACAACGTTCACGAGATGATCACGTTTGGCGGCTACAATATTTCTATAAATACTGTACGTAGGGTCCACTGTTGATGTGTCGCCAGCCGGTGAATTGAACATCGATACATTGTTGCGGCTCAGCTCAGTGCTGCGTGCGTGGGAACAAAGTAGCACTCTAGTCTGAATCGCTCTTGTCTGTCTGCCTCATGTGCCGTGTCCCTTTTTCCACCAGCGTCCAACGATAATGCCTCAACACAAAGTCAGGCTGGTGGTGACAGGAGATCATTTTGAGTACTGTCCGAAGAGGAATCAGGGGATAGTGGATTGTTTCCAAGCCGGGGGCATTTCTAATGTGTCCCTTCTGGTTAACGCCTCCTTGGCGAAAGAAGCGACAGAGCTGGCCAAAAGTAGATGTAGTATAGTAGGCTACTGAGTTTACTTTCATAGCTCATTTGTGACGTTTAATAGACTACATATGAAGTTACATTAAAGGTGTGTTCGTACATTTAATCTGGAGTGTCAGAGTGCGCTCTGGGCGTTCGTAAAGTCAGAGCGTTGTCAGATTGTCCGTTCGTAAATTCAGAGCGTTGTCAGATTGTCCGTTCGTAAATTCAGAGCGTTGTCAGATTGTCCGTTCGTAAATTCAGAGCGTTGTCAGATTGTCCGTTCGTAAATTCAGAGCGTTGTCAGATTGTCCGTTCGTAAATTCAGAGCGTTGTCAGATTGTCCGTTCGTAAATTCAGAGCGTTGTCAGATTGTCCGTTCGTAAATTCAGAGCGTTGTCAGATTGTCCGTTCGTAAATTCAGAGCGTTGTCAGATTGTCTGTTCGTAAATTCAGAGCGTTGTCAGATTGTCCGTTCGTAAATTCAGAGCGTTGTCAGATTGTCCGTTCGTAAATTCAGAGTGTTTCGCAGTCAAGCAGCCAAGCTAAGTGGGTTAGCTTGCTAGCTACTTCCAGTTACAAATGAGAGAACACCTCACTCTGACCATTTTACTCGCCCTAGCAGAGCTGGTTAGGCTGTTTTCATGTTATCCAGATCTTTGGTGACTGTAACTGTGCGCCTGGCAACAATTTAATTACGCTTTTTTGCCGACGTTTACTGACACCGTCCATATTCAACCGGTGTTGAGCGTTCATAAATTAGGCAGTTATTCTGCGCTCTGGCACACAGTTATTCTGCGCCCTGGCACACTAAAACGAGAGAGCTCTGAAATCGGAGTAGATAGCCAGAGTGAATTTACGAACGCAACCTAAATTGGTTTGAAAACACAGTAACTTCATGATAGGGGACATTCAGTTAACTTTTCCATGTGTCGGTGGTGCGATGGTTTGAATGAAAGGTGTATTGTATTCATTTAGACCTAGATTCAATGTTTGGTTTCCTGTCATCTATCCATGATTGAAGAGTTGTTAATCTAGCAGCATACCACATTAGAGCTAACATTTACATTTTAGTCATTTAGCAGACGCTCTTATCCAGAGCGACTTACAGTTAGTGAGTGCATACATTATTTTTTAATTTTTCATACTGGCCCCCCGTGGGAAACGAACCCACAACCCTGGCGTTGCAAACGCCATGCTCTACCAACTGAGATACATCCCTGCCGGCCATTCCATTCCCTCCCCTACCCTGGACGACGCTGGGCCAATTGTGCGCCGCCCCATGGCTAAAATAGTTGTATGACATTTCAGTGCAGGGTTAGTCGACTGTAGACCCAGAACGCGTTGGAGAGACTGTAAACCAACTGGAGAGCCCAAAATGTTTGAAATATTCCTTTCCACCTCTTTCCAGGAATCTTTAACAATGGGACAGTACAGGATGACATGTGCATCCAGTAAGTAGATCTGTGCAGCTTACATTTGAGACAGTCCCCAGAACATGCAGGGTCATAGTTACTTCTGACAACAGGTGTAGTTTATAATTGATGTATAATTTGAAACTGTAGCGCATGAGTTTTATATAGGAACAACATATTTTCTTCGCATTGGTAAGAATAACTTCCCATTCACAATTATCGATGCTCACCCCAAAGTCTTGCTGCCATGCATGCTTGCTACTATCAGTGTTGACCATGCCTTTAGAAAAAAGACTGGCGTATAAGTATGTTATTTTGTTCTTTTTTAGAGAGCTAGCAGGGAGTATGAGTCCCCCCCCCCAGATTTTTAAGGCCAGATCCCTCCTTTTAAAGGACATTTAATTAATAAAGCTTCCAAGCTGAAGGAAAGGGTCAAATTGTGAGTGTGCTAAACCACATTCTTGTTGCAGGAAAGACTTAGGGAGCCATCGTAAAACAAATCATTCAATGTCGTAATTACCACTGTCTGTACATGAAGGAGGAAATAAGAGATTGATAACAATCGGAACACAGAATGAATATCTACTGTATACAATTTTTTTAACATTACAATACATTCACAACAGATTTCACAACACATTAAGTGTGTGCCCTCAGGCCACTACTCCACTACCACATATCTACAACAGAAAATCCATGTGTATGTGTGTATAGTGCATATGTTATCGTGTGTTTATGCATGTGTCTGTGCCTATGTTTGTGTTGCTTCACAGTCCCCGCTGTTCCATAAGGTGTATTTTTATCTGTTTTTTAAATCACATTTTCCTGGTTGCATGAGTTACATGATGTGGAATAGAGTTTCATGTAGTCATGGCTCTATGTAGTACTGTGCGCCTCCCATAGTCTGTTCTGGACTTGGGTACTGTGAAGAGACCTCTGGTGGCATGTCTTGTGGGGTATGCGTGGGTGTCCGAGCTGTGTGCCAGTAGTTCAAAACAGACAGCATTCAACATGTCAATACCTCTCACAAATACAAGTAGTGATGAAGTCAATCTCTCCTCCACTTTGAGCCAAGAGAGATTGACATGGATATTATTAATGTTAGCACTCTGTGTGCATCCAAGGGCCATGAAGCACATTAACCTGGGGTTTACGCCACTGATGATGTCATGAGTCATGTGGTTTGTTTATATGGTTGCTAGGTGATCTAATCTAGATGAAAAATCTTCCATGTCCACTAATGTTTACTTAATCCAACTAATAAATTAATGTTACTGTATTTATTACAGCAGGTTAGTCCACTCTGTAGTAATTGGAACTGCTTGTTGTTTAAACATGTAGTGCTTTTTACCATGTGGTTGTCATGGGTGACACTTTATATTACATTATTTATAAAGGGTTTATAAGTAGTTATCAGATCAGTAGTTAACAGATTAGTAGTTAACAGGCAAGTAGCTTAGTGGTTAAGAGCATAGTGCCAGTAACTGAAAGGTCGCTGGTTCTAATCCCCGAGCCGACTAGGTGAAAAATTTGTCGATGTGCCCTTGAGTCCACTCACTTAACCCTAATTGCTCCTGTAAGTCGCTCTGGATAAGAGCGTCTGCTAAATGACTAAAATGTTAACAGATCAGTAATAATGATATACGTCAGTTTGATGCGTGACAAATAGCTGAATCTAATGTGGTGGCTCTGGTATCTGTGTCTGAGGTGTTTGTCCAGGTGCTGTCTGACTGTGGGATCCCCTATGCGTGTGTTACAGTGGAGCGTGGTCTACAAGCATGTCCCTGGCTGTCCACTGTCCTCAGAGACTTCTACACTCAGCTAGAGAAGGACGTGCTGGAGTCAGACAACATGGCATCAGGTAGGAGACATTCAGTCACACACTGAAATCACTGTAGTACTGAATGTGATGATCATCTTTTCAGGTTCTTGTATTTGGTTTTTCACTAGACCAGTCAGACTTCGTGGTACAGTATTATAGAGACGTTTTTTTAAGATAGAAGTGTTGAAGATGATCTGAAGGAGTCAAAAGTCTTATTATTTTCCTGTTCATCTCAATTGACAAATTCTTCTTCTTCCTCCTCCTTCCATCCCTCCCCACTCTCTCTCCCAGATGGCCTGACGTCCGTCCCCAACCTCAGACGAGCCTTCAGCCACGGCCTGGAACTAGACCTGGGGGGTCTCACTGTCACCTCCTGGGGGTGGAAGTAAAAACAGGACCACCCTGGTACCCCAGCCACCCCCAGGAGGGCGGGTGTGGGGAGGGTCCAGACGACTTCTCCCAGTCGGCTGACCGACAGCAGGAGCTAACCACCCTGAAGGACCCGGCCCTACTGGCCTGATACACACAGCAGAGGGTTCAACTCTGTGCCTTCAGGGACCTCTGATGCTCCACCCCCACACTCAGGGGTAGGGTAGCAGAATTTCCTAAACTTTTCAAAGATTCCCTGGTATTTCAGACATCTAATTTGAAGAATTCCAGGTTTGCGGATTCCCTAACTGCATATTCCCTGCTGATTCCCGGAAAACTCAAACTGGGATTTCTGAAAAAACAGGGCATTTAGGCGGACTCGGCTCCATGGGGGGGCAAAAGGGGGCTTACCCACCCCCCCCCCCCCCCCCCCAGTTAAAACTTTAGCCACCTCCGTTTTACGTCCCTAATATAGAAATAGCAAAAAAGTTTAAATGATTGAGTGACAGGTTGGCGCAAAAAAAAAAAAAGTATCTCCGCTGCACTGTGTCAGAACAATGGACAGGGCGTGCTGCGTTGTGCGTAGGGGGCTATGGAAAGCCACTGGGCGGTCAGGTATGACTACTTTGGGTTTCCATAAAAAGAGGAAAAAACACTTCTCATCTCTGTGGTAGGGTAAGTGAATATCCTGATACACCTCCGCCTGTAATTATTATTTTATTTTTATAAGGGCGGGGTCAAGTTTACAGTTTAAGCTACTTCAGTCTTAGCAAGCTAGCTGTAAAAAGCCTTAGTCTATTTAGCTAGAACCAGCCAATCAGAAGATAGATAGATATCAGAAATTGGCTTTGCCAAAGTACCCAAACAAAGGAGGAGAGTGATGAGAAGCAGCAGCCAAACCCAACAGCGATGATGCTGCCAAGCTCCAGCTAGCTCCGTGTGCATAGCCTACACACCCGATGATGCTGCCGAGCCCCAGCATAGCCTACACACCCTTCCACAATGTATTTTATTTTTAACCCTTATTTTACAAGGCAAGTTGACTGAGAACACATTCTTATTTACAGCAATGACCTGGGGAATAGTTACAGGGGAGAAGCGCTGCCAGGATAATGGCTCCATAGCCGCATCCCCCTTCGACTGTTCCTGATGATCTTGGAACAGAGGAGCCAGGATCTCCATTCGCCTGTTGTTTACTGTGTTTGTTTACTGTTAATGTAACTATCCTAAATATAGATGGTGTCATGCCTTTATCCATCTGATATGTTTACTAGGCCTACTAGTTAGTAAAAAAATCGGTCTTCTAAGAAAACGTCTGTAGCGTCCGAACGGTTTGTCCTACACGATGGTGTTCTCCGTTTTTCTACTGTGGAAAAGTGCTTCCCAAAAGGTGCGTTGGGACTCAGTGGTAGCACGTACAGTTGAAGTCGGAAGTTTACATACACTTAGGTTGTCATTAAAACTAGTTTTTCAACCACTCCACACATTTCTTGTTAACAAACTATAGTTTTGGCAAGTCGGTTAGGACATCTACTTTGTGCATGACACAAGTAATTTTTCCAACAATTGTTTACAGACAGATTATTTCACTTATAATTCACTGTATCACAATTCCAGTGGGTCAGAAGTTTACATACACTAAGTTTACTGTGCCTTTAAACAGCTTGGAAAATTCCAGAAAATGATGTCATGGCGTTAGAAGCTTCTGATAGGCTAATTGACATAATTTGAGTCAATTGGAGGCGTACCTGTGGATGTATTTCAAGGCCTACCTTCAAACTCAGTGCCTCTTTGCTTGACATCATGGGAAAGTCAAAAGAAATCAGCCAAGACCTCATAATAAAGATTGTAGATCTCCCCAAGTCTGGTTCATCCTTGGAAGCAATTTCCAAACGCCTGAAGGTACCACGTTCATCTGTACAAACAATAGTATGCAAGTATGAACACCATGGGACCATGCAGCCGTCATACTGCTCAGGAAGGAGACGCGTTCTGTCTCCTAGAAATGAACGTACTTTGGTGCGAAAAGTGCAAATCAATCCCAGAACAACAGCAAAGGACCTTGTGAAGGTGCTGGAGGAAACCGGTACAAAAGTATCTATATCCACAGTAAAACAAGTCCTATATCGACAAAACCTGAAAAGCCGCTCAGCAAGGAAGTAGCCACTGCTCCAAAACTGCCATAAAAAAGCCAGACTACGGTTTGCAACTGCACATGGGGACAAAGATTGTACTTTTTGGAGAAATGTCCTCTGGTCTGATGAAACAAAAATAGAACTGTTTGGCCATAATGACCATCGTTATGTTTAGAGAAAAAAGGGTGTCGCTTGCAAGCCGAAGAACACCATCCCAACCGTGAAGCACGGGGGTGGCAGCATCATGCTGTGGGGGTGCTTTGCTGCAGGAGGGACTGGTGCACTTCACAAAATAGATGGCATCATGAGGAAGGAAAATTATGTGGATATATTGAAGCAACATCTCAAGACATCAGTCAGGAAATTAAAGCTTGGTCGCAAATGGGTCTTCCAAATGGACAATGACCCCAAGCATACTTCCAAAGTTGTGGCAAAATGGCTTAAGGACAACAAAGTCAAGGTATTGGAGTGGCCATCACAAAGCCCTGACCTCAATGATGACGCAATCTCTATTGCACTCCACACTGCCCTTTCCCATCTGGACAAAAGGAACACCTACGTGAGAGTGCTGTTCATTGACTACAGCTCAGCGTTCAACACCATAGTGCCCTCCACGCTCATCCCTAAACTAAGGACTCTGGGATTAAACACCTCCCTCTGCAACTGGATCCTGGACTCCCTGACAGGCTGCCCCCAGGTGGTAAGGGTAGGCAACAACACATCTGCCAAACTGACCCTCAACACGGGGGCCCCTCAGGGGTGCGTGCTTAGTCCCCTCATGTACTCCCTGTTCACCCACAACTGTGTGGCCAAACACGACTCCAACACCATCATTAAGTTTGCTGACGACACAACAGAGGGGGAGGCCTCATCACCGATGACGATGAGACAGCCTACAGGAAGGAGGTCAGAGACCTGGCAGTGTGGTGCCAAGACAACAACCACTCCCTCAACGTCAGTAAGACAAAGGAGCTGAGTGTGGACTACAGGAAACGGATGGCCGAGCACACCCCCATCCATATTGACAGGGCTGTAGTGGAGCAGGTCGAGAGCTTAAAGTTCTTCGGTGTCCACATCACTAAGGAATTCTCATGGTCCACACACACCAACACAGTCGTGAAGAGGGCATGACAACACCTCTTCCCCCTCAGGAGGCTGAAAAGATTTGGCATGGGCCCTCAGATCCTCAAAAAGTTATACAGCTGCACCATTGAGAGCATCTTGACTGGCTGCATCACAGCTTGGTATGGCAACTGCTTGGCATCCGACCGCAAAGTGCTACAGAGGGTTGTGGGTACGGCCCAGTACATCACTGGGGTTGAGCTCCCTGCCATCCAGGACCTCTATACCAGGCGGTGTCAGAGGAAGGCCCTAAAAATTGTCAAAGACTCCAGCCACCCAAGTCATAGACTGTTCTCTCTGCTACCGCACGGCAAGCGGTACTGATGCACCAAGTCTGGAACCAACAGGACCTGAACAGCTTCTGCCCCCAAGCCATAAGACTGCTAAATATACTGAACAAAAATATAAACGCAACATGCAACAATTTCAATGATTTGACTGAGTTACAGTTCATATAAAGAAATCAGTCAATTTAAATAAATTCATTAGACCCTAATCTATGGATTTCACATGACTGGTCAGGGGCGCAGCCATGGGTGGGCCTGGGAGGGCATAGGCCCACCCATTTGGGAGCCAGGCCCAGCCACTGAGTTTTTCCCCACAAAAGGGCTTTATTACAGACAGAAATACTCCTCCGTCTCATCAGCTGTCCGGGTGGCTGGTCTCAGACAATCCAGCAGGTGAAGAAGCCGGATGTGGAGGTCCTGGGCTGGCGTGGTTACACGTGGTCTGCGGTTGTGAGGCTGGTTGGACGTACTGCCAAATTCTATAAAACAATATTGGAGGTGGCTTATGGTACATAAATGTACATTAAATTATCAGGCAACAGCTCTGGTGGACATTCCTGCAGTCAGCATTCCAATTGCACCCTCCCTCAAAACATGTGTGTGACAAAACTGCAAATTTTAGAGTGGCCTTTTATTGTCCCCAGCACAAGGTTGACCTGTGAAATGATCATGCTGTTTAACTTCTTGATATGCCACACCTGTCAGGTGGATGGATTATCTTGGCAAAGGAGAACTGCTCACTAACAGGAATGCAAAGAAATTTGTGCACAAAAGTTGAGAGTAATAAGCTATTTGTGCTTATGGAACATTTCTGGTTATCTTTTATTTCAGCTTATGAAACATGGGACCAACACTGTACATGCTGCATTTATATTTTTTGTTCAGTATAGTTAGTTAAATAGTTAACCAATAGCTACCCTGACGATCTGAATTGACCCTTTTTGCAATAACTTACTCATCACATCCGTTGCTGTTACTGTTTATTATCCTGTTGTCTAGGCACTTTATCCCTACATACATGTACCTCAATTACCTCGTACCCCTGCACATCGACTCGGTACCCCGTGTATATACATTTACATTACATTTTAGTCATTTAGCAGACGCTCTTATCCAGAGCGACTTACAGGAGCAATTAGGGTTAAGTGCCTTGCTCAAGGGCACATTAACGTCATTTAGCAGACGCTCTTAGCCAGAGCGACTCACAAATTGGTGCGTTCACCCTATAGCCAGTGGGATAACCACTTTACAAAATATAGCCAAGTTATCATTGCTCATTTTGTTGTTTTTCTATATATCTTTTTTTCCTCTCAGGGTTGTTGGGAAGGGCCCGCAAGTAAGCATGTCACTGTTAGTCTACACGTTTAAATAAAATGTGATTCGAGTATGGTGCCCTCCAGTGGTAGGTTGTCTCGCTACATTACAAAATAAAAAGTCTGAACACTACAACACCAACACTGTTTTGACTTGTCAGACCACTGATTTTAATGTAAGCTACAACTTTTTTGCTATATCCATTGTTTCCTGATTTGAAATACAGACCAGACCATTATGGAAATGTCACTTAATCTATAGCGGAATCCCTTTGCGTGGTGTCACTCTTACCACAAACTGTCTCCCCCTTCACATCTTCTAGAAGATCCTGAATCCCTACATATTCACTTACTTATTGTTGAATCTTGCCTTTCCCCTTCACATCTACAGTATATCCTGCCCAGGGACTGAAGTTGAAAATTATTTAAATGGCCACTTTTACAGTAATGTTGCACTGTCCCTCAAACTAAATTTAAAGTGTTCCCATTCCCTACACATTTATTCACCCAGCCACAGGGACAAGCTCACAGCAGCCAGACAATAGGACCAAATGGTTAGCCATTCTTTATTATGAAACATTGGACCGAATCACACAGCTGTTAAACTGCTCCAGTCCCTGTCCTGTTTACACCCTACTGGCAGACAGACAGACCTCTCCCAGCTCAGTGTAAGGTGCCTGTTACATAGGACCACCGTCTCTGTGAGGTAACTCAATCTGTTTAAAATGGCACCCTATTCCCTATATAGCGCACTACTTATGACCAGAACCCTATGTAGGGAATAGGGTGCCATTTTGGACTCAACCTCAGTCTTTAGACTCCCCTGCCTGAAACTTCACTAAGACCTTTTTGTGTGTGGGGGGGGGGGGGGGGGGGGGGGGGCTGTTCCAGTGGCTATATCAGCCACTGAGATATGTGTGTGATAGTCTCTGGTAATGACAAATGAGGTTTGGTTCACGGTGCCAAGATTGTATCAGATTGTATCTATGAAGAGCGAAAGGCGGTGGGGTTCCAATTTTGAAATGTGTATGTGACGTTTGACAAAACAGGTGGGTGTGATGATGAGCGGACTGGATAGTAGACTTACAGCCATCAGACTGGATAGTAGACTTACAGCCATCAGACTGGATAGTAGACTTACAGCCATCAGACTGGATAGTAGACTTACAGCCATCAGACTGGATAGTAGACTTACAGCCATCAGACTGGATAGTAGACTTACAGCAAACAAAATGTGAGTCGTCAGAACTACTGTTTTTACTTCCCACTTTGTCTTGAGCAGACGGCAGGTGACATCGAATGTGTATAGGAGAGAACAGCTAAAACTCAGGAAGCGTTTAACCTGTGGGTGGGGTATACAGCCAACTTAAAAACACAGAGGGAGATTTTTCTACTGAATGGAACTTCTGCCTATAACTAAAAAGCAATTCAGGAGGAAGTCTCAGAATGCAAATGGAGAAAATATGTCCAATACAAAGAGGGGCATCCTCATAAACAGAAAAGAATGGAAACTGAAGTACATTATGAGTATTCTTCGGTTTTCCAATCGTAAAAAATGCGTTTTGGACCAGTGGGGAGTATAAAACAGAGACAATTCTCTCCAGTCAATTACACTTGTAATTGATGACAATATTGGCTTATTAATCGGTCGCCATTTTGTTTCCGTCTGCTCAGTGGGCTTGCGCCAAACTGAGGGGATGGACAACGGAGAGGGTTTGTTCCACAGAATACAGTGCAACTCCAGAAGCAGAGAAGAAGTCAAAAGGAAAACATTTCAGCACACACTTTCAGGGCCTAGCTAACATTGTGACAGAACAAGATGAGACTAGAGAACAGAAAAAATAAAATAAAGAAAATGAGAACAACTTTTCATTCTCTGACAGAAAAATCTCCTTCCACAAATTAGTGCTACCACAAGAGGCATACGGTACTCAAGCAATGATTTCTTGTTTTTCCTCTTTTTAAACAAACAGCAAAACATTGGATTTTTTTACATTTTCTACTTTTTTCCCCCTCCTTAGTTCTTTAACATGGAAGTTCTCTAACCATTTATTTTTTCTTGTCTTTTTAATTTTTTTAATTTAAGAAAATAGTAGAAAGTTAGTAACGGCCTCGAGCTATCACCAGGAGGAGGAGAAACCTGTCGGATCCAGGGTCCTGCGTTGAAGGTAGGCTGTGGCGGCAGCCATGCGCTGTGGCGAGGCTGGGGCTGCAGCCATGCGCTGGGGCGAGGCTGGGGCTGAAGCCACGTGCTGGGCTGTTAGGATGACGAGTATGTGTGAGGGAAGAATGGAGGAGAGGGTGTGTGGGTAGATGGGGAGGAGAGACTGGGGGAAGGTACAGAGAGAAGGGAGGGGAAGACGGACATTTGGTTGGAGGGCTGGGAAAGGGAAAGAGAGAGAGGGCTACACACTGGTCAGGTGATCAGTCCATTGGTCTCTTTTCTCCGTGTTTCTTTGTAAACTCCTCTGCGTTCTTAAAGAATTTTTTACGGTCCTTTGAGTATTCTTCTGCTAGGTCCGCCCTCAGGGGGTGCTCTGGCTGGGGGTCGTTCACCAACGCAATCAGGGACTGAATTACTGCAGAATAGACAGGGAAAACAAACTCATTACTACAAAATCAATTGCTACATTGACAACCTAAAATGACTAGCCTAGCGCAAGGTTTCATTTTCCTGTCATTTGCTCATGTTCTACTGTCCAGTGTCAGGGTATCATGTAAGCATTGCAAGCATAATTTACATTCTAGGCAAATCATAGGAGGTTTTTAAGTTCTGACTTGACATGTATGCACAACTCAACTTTCAGGAAAATCCAACACTGTTAAATGTGTGTAAAAGTTCTAGGTAATGTCACCAGAGAGTGACTATGGGGAGGCTGCGGCTCACCCACCTTGGTCAGTTTTGGTGGCTGGCTTCCAGTTCTCTGCGCTGATGACGGGCAGACACACCTGTCCCTTCTCGTCGATGTTGGGGTGATAGATCTTCGTCTTGAACGTGATCTTGGGGGGCTTGAAGGGGTACTCGGCGGGGAAGATTAATTCGATCCTGAAAGCTCCCTTGTCATAGGGAGCGTTGTCCTACAGAGGAGTAATGTGTAGACAATAAGACATGGTTAGTTAGTGCGACAATGACCATATCCAAGGAGCAACCTGTATGACTGTCTAATGACATTCCATACATATAATAGTTATATAACCACAACAGAGGCTTCTGTGAACTTAATAGCCTTCATCAGAGAATTGTGAAGCCATGAATCGATGATGACGGGGAATAAAACCACTTACAGGGACAATGAGACCTTGCCAGGTCAATATGTTGGATTCATCCACTTGAATGTTTCGGAAGTTTTTCATTCCAGACTTGCGAATCTCTTCAAGTTCCTGAAAGAGAGAGAGAGACATACAACATTATGACATGTTAAGCGGCCCCTCCAATGAGGAAATGGAAAATAGGCATAATGTACGATCCTACTCTTAGGAAGGGGTTAGGAGCACTTCCAAGGATTGTGGCTCCGAATTCGCTACAATAAGTCAGATGTCAATCAAGTCATTACGCATAAACAGAGAGGTATCTGCTTGTGAGGCATCGATGTCAGTCAATGACATCAAATATGACATTGACATGTCCTGATGATGTAAACAAACCTAAAAGCCAGAAAGACGATCCTGTGCTTCTTTGATTTCTGTCTGGACAGACATCTTACTAATTAATGTTTTGTTTGGTCCACACAATTAAGTTTGCTGAGTGTTTATTATTAGTTAGGTCTAGAAAACGTTTGGGTTTCGGTTTTGTTTACTGCTGCAAACCATCATGATGACCTCATGAGATAATTAACTCATGGTGCAGTTTTCTACAATGCCGTCGTGTTGATAAGAGCTATAGCTGACTGGCAATCTAGTTGTATAGCCATATAGACCTAGATATATGGCTAGCTATCTAACGTTACTGTTAGTGACAAAAACTATAACTTTCAAATATGACACTTGACTAAATGTACTTCCACAACCATATTTGCGGTGATAGATAATGGTATGGCTAGCTAACCACCTGCGGTTTCTTTTCTAAAACGAAAGCACTGAGTTTATAAAGTCGTTAACTACTACGTTAGCTGGCTAGCGAGATAGCTAGCTACAGTAGTTAACAACTTGACTATAGCTAGGTCGCATTGATAAACAGGGAGAACTTGAAACGTTAACTAAAACCGTTGTGTGATTTGCTAATCCTCTAAACATTGGGACAATGAGATTGTGCTACCTGAGTCACATTAAGTGAAACGCCCTTTCTTGGTTTAGCTAGTTAACGCTAGTCGGGCGATATGGGGAGCTAGCTAGCTAGGCAAAGTAGCTAATTTAGCTAGCCATCAAACAAACCGCTCAGACAGTTGTCGTAAATAGCTATCTAACTAGCCTAGTTCAATAACGGTAATTGTTCAGCCATTGCAAGGTTGTGATAAGAATTTAATCTATGTCAATATTTTCCTGCTGTACCGGAGATTGATGTCAGTTCTAATGATTAGCGAGCAACATGGCATACTGGTTTCCCTGCTGTGATCCTCAATCTGGCTTAATTTGCCGGTGTTTCCATAACCAGGAGTATATTAATTACGCTGATTCTGTTGCAAAACGTTCCGTCTGACGGTCTGTTACAAAACATGTTGCAACTGAAACTGTTTACTCCAAACGAAAAACGTTTTGCAACGAAAACGAGTTTATATTGGACAAATGCAGGTAGGTCCCTCCCAGTTTCGTTCCGTTTGGTTCTTAAACGGTAAACGGTTTCCGATGTAAGATGTAATGAATACACCCCTATTTTGAGCTAGCTAGCTAACCTAACTATCTAGCTATCTAGTTAACGAAACAGAGTGACTTCTCGTTTTTAGCTGGACATTATTTCAACACACAACGTTACGGAACAAATACGCATCAGGACGAAATCGTGGCTGAGTTGGACTCCATAATGACTAAGCCCTTAGATAGCCCATTCGGCTTCAATGTTGATAGATATGAAAATAGTGTGATCATGAGATTTACCTTGTGCAGTCTCCTGCTCGCCGCCATCTTGAATCTACTGTGGGTTCCCAGAATACACTGCGGCGACAGGGCGGCTTGCTTTCGCAGTTCCAAAAAGGGGAACGCTGGACGCGTTCGTGCGGATCACTCTTGTTAAGTCAGTGACCATTTCAAAGTGTGTTGCATTATGCGGATACAAATTGTACGACTTGCGCCTACATGAACTTTACAACAGTCATGTGATCAAAGATCATGAAGTTTCGACTGCAGTCGACATGCTCCTCACCCGCTGCAACTTGCAGCCATTGCCTACATTGTGGGAGGCACTATTTGTCAACCAATCATTAGTGTCTTTGTTTGACCAACGCGAACGTGACCAAAGATATGACTGAAACAGGAAGCAATTTTGCCGTCATTCATGTATAAAGTGGATATGTACAAATTAATGTGAGATTTCAGGCACTTGCTGCCCAATTGATAGCACAATGTACGCACCTATATTTACAGTTTGTGAATGTATGATATGGGGATTGGAGACATGTTTATTTCGACAATACAAAATAAAAGTTTATAAACAATGCCAAACTGCCATGTTGCACTGAGCCTTACTGTTAGAAAACCACATCAGTGTCCCGACTTTTGGCTGTAGCAGATGCACTTCCCCCGACTACACTCCTAGACTTTCGTCTGCAGCCGCTTTCTTCAGCCTTACCAAACAAGCCCACTCTTTTCACTCCACTTTGATACAACGTGATTTTCATAGCAGGTTAGGAGAGCATTTTCGCTAACTCCTATCCATTTTCCTAACCTTAGCCTCAGTCACCTAACCTGCCATGTTAATGATCCTAACCTGCTGCGCGTAAATTATCCTATCCTGCTACGAAAAAGTCACTCTGGTATGGAAGTGGCATAAAAAAAAGTGTTTCCAGTTCCAAAAAGGCGATGTGTGTTTCATTATGGGGATTGAAATGGTCAGACTTGCGCCTTCATGACGACTGCCTGAACTTGACAAAAAAACGTGATCAAATGTCATGAAGTTTTGACTGCAGTCAGAGGAAGAGGCGAAGCGAGAGGGATAGCCCAACTGGGCCCAACATCTGTCTTCTCCAGCAGGTGGCGTATTATTATTTCTCCTCACCAAGCCAGGAGTTTTTGTATTGGAGGTCAACGAGAGAGTGTCGAATTTGGTATGGCTTGTTTAATCGAAAATAAGTTTCGTAATGCTTGTTACGAGTGTAACCTAAGGTAGCAGGCGTAAAAGAAACGCCTGGAACTAGATCCATTTACATTACATTTGTTTTGTCATTTAGCAGACGCTCTTATCCAGAGCGACTTACAGGAACAATTAGGGTTAAGTGCCTTGCGTAAGGGCACATCGACAGATTTTTCACCTAGTCGCCTCGAGGATTAGAACCAGCGACCTTTCGGTTACTGGTCCTTTCGGTTACTGGCACAACGCTCTTAACCACTAAGCTACCCATTAAGATCCCCCACATACTGGTCTCGAGGAGGAGAAAAACAACTGATCGCTTCTGCACTGTTCAACCAATCCAGTAAATGTAGAGGAGGAGTTAAGATTAGGGTTGAATGGCGGGAAACCCTGGTTACCGAGATTTAGACATCACATATAATTAAACAGTTCCATTCCACGCCATTCTGTTCATATAAATAATGTATTATAATTGACTGGTTTTTCAGTTTGTGAGTGTGCGATATGGGGATTGGAAACATGTTTCTTTTCGACATCACCCAAAAAACGTGTATAAATGATGCCAACACTGCCATGTTGCACTGAGCTTTGCTGTTGGAAAACCACATCAGTGTACTACTTTTCAGGTGCACCTATTAAAAATAAAAATAAACAGAAATACCTTATTTACATAAGTATTCAGACCCTTTGCTATGAGACTCGAAATTGAGCTCAGGTGCATCCTGTTTCCATTGATCATCTTTGAGATGTTCCTACAACTTGATTGGAGTCCACCTGTGGTAAATTCAATTGATTGGACATTATTTGGAAAGGCACACCCCTGTTTATATAAGGTCCCACAGTTGACAGTGCATGTCAGAGCAAAAACCAAGCCATGAGGTCGAATAAATTGTCCGTAGAGTTCCAAGACAGGATTGTGTTGATGCACAGATCTGGGGAAGGGTACCAAAATATTTCTGCAGCATTGAAGGTCCCCAAGAACACAGTGGCCTCCATCATTCTTAAATGGAAGAAGTTGGGAACCACCAAGACTCTTCCTAGAGTTGGCTGCCCAGCCACACTGAGCAATCGGGGGAGAAGGGACTTGGTCAGGGAGGTGACCAAGAACCCGATGGTCACTCTGACAGAGCTCCAGAGTTCATCTGTGGAGATGGGAGAACCTTCCAGAAGGACAACCATCTCTGCAGCACTCCACCAATCAGGCCTTTATGGTAGTGGCCAGACGGAAGCCACTCCTCAGTAAAAGGCACGACAGCCCGCTTGGAGTTTGCCAAAAGGCACCTAAAGGACTTTCAGACAATGAGAAACAAGATTATCTGTTTTTCAGCGGCAGGGACTGGGAGACTAGTCAGGATCGAGGGGAAAGATGAACGGAGCAAAGTACAGAGGGAAAAAAACTCTAGACCACCTTTACTCCACACACAGAGACGCATACAAAGCTCTCCCTCGCCCTCCATTTGGCAAATCTGACCATAACTCTATCCTCCTGATTCCTGCTTATAAGCAAAAACTGAAGCAGGAAGCACCAGTGATTCGGTTAATAAAAAAGTGGTCAGATGACGCAGATGCTAAGCTACAGGACTGTTTTGCTAGCACAGACTGGAACATGTTCCGGGATTCTTCAGACAGCATTGAGGAGTACACCACATCAGTCACTGGCTTCATCAATAAGTGCATCGATGATGTCGTCCCCACAGTGACATACCCCAACCAGAAGCCATGGATTACAGGAAACATCCGCACTGAGCTAAAGGGTAGAGCTGCCGCTTTCAAGGAACGGGACTCTAACCCGGACGCTTATAAGAAATCCCGCTATGACCTCCGACGAACCATCAAACAGGCAAAGAGTCAATACAGGTCTAAGATTGAATCATACTACACTGGCTCTGACGCTCGTCGGATGTGGCAGGGCTTGAAAACTATTACAGACTACAAAGGGAAGCACAGCCGCGAGCTGCCCAGTGACACAAGCCTACCAGACGAGCTAAACCACTTCTATGCTCGCTTCGAGGCAAGCAACACTGAAGCATGCATGAGAGCACCAGCTGTTCCGGACGACTATGTGATCACGCTCTCCGTAGCCGATGTGAGTAAGACTTTTAAGCAGGTCAATATTCACAAGGCCGCAGGGCCAGACGGATTACCAGGACGTGTACTCCGAGCATGTGCTGACCAACTGGCAAGTGTCTTCACTGACATTTTCAACATGTCCCTGACTGAGTCTGTAATACCAACATGTTTCAAGCAGACCACCATAGTCCCCGTGCCCAAGAACTCTAAGATAACCTGCCTAAATGACTACCGACCCGTAGCACTGACGTCTGTAGCCATGAAGTGCTTTGAAAGACTGGTCATGGCTCACATCAACAGCATAATCCCAGAAACCCTAGACCCACTCCAATTTGCATACCGCCCCAACAGATCCACAGATGATGCAATCTCTATCGCACTCCACACTGCCCTTTCCCACCTGGACAAGAGGAACACCTACGTGAGAATGCTATTCATTGACTACAGCTCAGCATTCAACACCATAGTGCCCTCTAAGCTCATCACTAAGCTAAGGATCCTGGGACTAAACACCTCCCTCTGCAACTGGATCCTGGACTTCCTGACGGGCCGCCCCCAGGTGGTAAGGGTAGGTAACAACACATCGGCCACACTGATCCTCAACACGGGGGCCCCTCAGGGGTGCGTGCTCAGTCCCCTCCTGTACTCTCTGTTCACCCATGACTGCATGGCCAGGCACGACTCCAACACCTTCATTAAGTTTGCCGACGACACAACAGTGGTAGGCCTGATCACCGACAATGATGAGTCAGCCTATAGGGAGGAGGTCAGAGATCTGGCCGTGTGGTGCCAGGACAACAACCTCTCCCTCAACGTGACCAAGACAAAGGAGATGATTGTGGACTACAGGAAAAAAAAGAGGACTGAGCACGCCCCCATTCTCATCGACGGGGCTGTAGTGGAACAGGTTGAGAGCTTCAAGTTCCTTGGTGTCCACATCACCAACGAACTATCATGGTCCAAACACACCAAGACAGTCGTGAAGAGGGCACGACAAAGCCTATTCCCCCTCAGGAGACTAAAAAGATTTGGCATGGGTCCTCAGATCCTCAAAAAATTCTACAGCTGCACCATCGAGAGCATCCTGACTGGTTGCATCACCGCCTGGTATGGCAACTGCTTGGCCTCTGACCGCAAGGCACTACAGAGGGTAGTGCGTACGGCCCAGTACATCACTGGGGCAAAGCTCCCTGCCATCCAGGAACTCTATACCAGGCGGTGTCAGAGGAAGGCCCTCAAAATTGTCAAAGACTCCAGCCACCCTAGTCATAGACTGTTCTCTCTGCTACCGCACGGCAAGCGGTACCGGAGTGCCAAGTCTAGGTCCAAAAGACTTCTCAACAGCTTCTACCCCCAAGCCATAAGACTCCTGAACAGCTAATCATGGCTACCCGGACTATTTGCACTGCCCCCCCACCCCATCCTTTTTACGCTGCTGCTACTCTGTTAAGTAAGTATTTATGCATAGTCACTTTAACTCTACCCACATGTACATATTACCTCAACTACCTCAACTAGCCGGTGCCCCCGCACATTGACTCTGCAACGATACCCCCCTGTATATATAGCCTCCCTACTGTCACTTTATTTTACTGTATATATAGCCTCCCTACTGTCACTTTATTTTACTGTATATATAGCCTCCCTACTGTCACTTTATTTTACTGTATATATAGCCTCCCTACTGTCACTTTATTTTACTGTATATATAGCCTCCCTACTGTCACTTTATTTTACTGTATATATAGCCTCCCTACTGTCACTTTATTTTACTGTATATATAGCCTCCCTACTGTCACTTTATTTTACTGTATATATAGCCTCCCTACTGTCACTTTATTTTACTGTATATATAGCCTCCCTACTGTCACTTTATTTTACTGTATATATAGCCTCCCTACTGTCACTTTATTTTACTGTATATATAGCCTCCCTACTGTCACTTTATTTTACTGTATATATAGCCTCCCTACTGTCACT